ATAAAACCATATACTTACAATTATAACCTTCTGATCTTTTACATTATATGGTTTCCTTTCTTATTTAGGCGTAAAAAAGGAACAAAAACCCACCACCGTTATTTTCACCGCCATTCCTCCGTGTCACAAGGAGAACAGCCCTCCTGCGCTATATCGGTGATCTGAACTCCCGTATCGTACACCTCGCCGGACCGCCACTCAGCCGGCAACACCTCCTGTTGGGCCCACACCCACTTGCCGTCGTACCCACCCGTCACCACGAACCGGAACTGAAGCGGGCCGCCCGGTGCTTGCCTGGTGGTCCAGACCGGGCCGTTGAGCCGGGTCATGAACTGCCATGCTGGCGAACCGAACCGCGCCACGTCGACTGCCACGACGTCAGTTTGTCCACCTTGGTAGATAAGTTTGACCGTTAATAAACTGGGCCTCCGGCTGCTCTCCTCCACTCTTATGGATAGGTTCTTGTTTGAATAGTCGCACGGAATCCTGCAATTGTCCGCATAAATCTAGTATGGGTCAATAAATTTGAATCCGCTTCATTTAAATGACTGGTCTATTCGTTTGACTAGTTTATATTAGGTTGAAATTTTATATAGGATTGAAAATTAATGCTTCCTACGCTCGTAACAACTACATAAATTTAATAAAGCTGGGACCTATTTCTCTAACATTTAAAATATAAGAGAAATTTAATATAAAATAAAATTATAGGCCGAAAGAGTATTTTTCCTCGATATAATAATTAATTAATTGTTTAAAAAAAATGTATTGATTTGAAGGAAAAATATAATAAAATATATTTAATCATATATATACATATATATACACAGTGAATTTAGCATAATGAATGAAAAAATAATTAGAATTTATATTGCGTTTAATAGAAAATAAATCCAATAATCTCAAAACTTATTCTGAACAAAACTCGATCATAATATCCCAAACTTTCAGTTCATCGGAAGAAAACTGAACAGAGCATGAAAATAACCTGAAGAATTGATTACCTTTTGTATTCTGCATCGACTATCCCAACTGTCTGCAGTCCGGCGAACATCCCCGGCCGCGCCATAGCAGCGAAGGCCCGAGCACTGAGCCTGAAATCAGTTCTATTGCTCTTATCAAGGTCGGTCACCACAACCTTCACTCCTGCTCCATTACAGAGCTCTGTATTCCTGCACCG